GTTACACATCCATGTGCATCCACTTATATGCAAAGGTGCACACACACACACACACACACACACACGAGTCAAAAGACAAACTCAGAGAAGGTCTGCATGATATCGAAGAATCCCAAAATTTACTGATGTTAGCAACTAACAGGTACTGGGTTACTAATAGCCCAAACTATTAATAAGAAAAGGACAGCCCAGATGGGAGAGATGGCTCAGCCATTATAGAAGCTAGGCTCACAGGCAAAAAATATGAGAAAAAAAAAACAGTTCGATAAAGCGACAGGCAAAGGGTCTGAAAAGCAGACGGGTATTTGCTCCCTTAAATCCTGTAGTAATCAGGTTGTCAGAAATCCAACCTAACCCTTATTTATCAAAGACAGGGGACACTCTAATGGAAGAAATGTATTAAAAATCATTCTATCCATGATCTATGAGTATTTGTATGATCAAGGAACCAAGGTTTTATGGCTTTTTCTGCAAATTTTAAAATAGCTATTAAGAAGATTATAAAAAGTATTCATTGCAATCAGACTCGTGAGTGTGTATAGACCTGAAAATGCCCGTTACATTGTTACGATTTTAAAATTATAAGACAAATATAGTATAATATTCTTTTTTTAAGTAAGTCTTTATGTTCGTATTTCAACATTTTTTTAAAACCTCTAGAGCTAGGAAACAAAATCTGAAAAAGCAGTGCATACCCAGGCAACGTCTGTGTCGTGTTTCCCAGGTGATTTTAATTTTCTTCATGTTTTCTCTATTTTCTTCAGTGTTGGTGATTAACATGAGAATTATTTAGTTACTGTCACTAGTTTAAATAAAGGCATCTGATTGATATATATATATATATATATATATATATATATCAGGGAACTAGGTACTGCCTTGCCTGGATTTCATATGTACTGAGTAAGGACAGAGTCGGTGAAGGTAAGTCTAAAAGGACAAATCAGGGTACCCACAACAGTGGCCATGTGGGCCTCAGGACGAGGTTCAGATGGTCGGTCCAGCAGATGAAGACTTTGGCTCCCTCCTGAGAACCCCCAGCCAATTGCACTCTGTTTCTTAAGATGTTCTAATTTCCTTGTGAATTACATGGATTCCTAGTCTTCTTAGAGAAGTTAACTGTGGTTCAAGCCAAGGAGGTTATTAAAAACAAAACTAAAAAGTAAACTCTGGTTCCTTTCTCAATATATTTCTGAAAAAGACAAACCACGTGGTCACTCTGATCCCAGAAAGAGCCCTGGAGGAAGACTGAAGGGCTTCTCAGTACTGTTAGTGCTCTCACAAAAGATGAGAATTTTCAGGAATTTCCCTGAAGACAGCTGTGTCACTGACTTCCTATGAAGGCATCCCTGCCCTCCCCATTGCCTAAGATTATCGGGAATCAGAAGTCGAGCCACACGTGTTCAAAGTGCTTACTCTCAACAAGCCGCACTGGCTCCCGGGGGCCCACAGGAAGAGAGCGCTGCCTCTTGTCAGCCACAGGCTCTGAGAGCTGAGCAGCCTAGGGTGTCGGCTGCAATGATGGCGTACCCTGACTGTCCTTCTCTTTCCTCAGTTTTCAACGCATAGCTGATTCCAGTGTCCAGCTGACAGCTCTCTTGCAAAATTAGTTACAACTAAGTGTGAAGATGCCTAGTTAACCTTAATGGGCAACAAGCCGTCACAACGCTGTGCTCCTGAGTCTCGTGTAATCCCCTTTTAAATGCCCATCATTTAAACCACAGGCCTTCAAGAATTAAGACGTCAACGACAATGTTCCAGAATTTTTGGCCTTATAAGTTACTACCTGGCAGAAAATTTTACCTGAAATCATGAAGATGTATTTCAAAGACAGAAAAAAATAAAGACAACTTTTGAAAGAGCCAGCCATCTGAGACGAAAGGAATTGGGCCCCTGTGCCTACAAAGCAGGCTCTCCCCCTGCTTTGTAGAAAGCAGGTATGAGGCAGAAAGAGCAGGTGTGAGGCTCCAAACAGAACAGAGGTTCTTCAGCAGAAGGGTCGAAAAAGACCCCCCAAAGAGGGGACATGAAAATGGCTGCAGAAGCAAATGAGCACACATCTACACATTCTCCTTAATGAACAGAGTGCTCCATGCCAAACAGAGTGCTCCATGTCAGAGTGCTCCATGAAAAATAAAGTGCTCCGTGCTGAACAGAGTGCTCCATGCCAAACAGAGTGCTCCATGCCAAACAGAGTGCTGTGTTCTGCTTTTGTTAGTGTCTGGGGCTGCAGCAGCGGCTCTGAGGTTAGAAGTGCATGCTGCTATCCCACAGGCCCTGAGGATGGGTTCTGGCATTCCCTTCAGACAGCTCACAACCATGTTACTCCAGTCCCAAGGGTAAGAAGCCTCCTTCTGGCCTTTATGGGCACTTACACACACACACACACACACACACACACACACACCTAGACACAAATAAAAATAAATAATAATTTTTTAAAAAAGCTTTTAAGGTTGCTTTTCTCCATATGGGACACAAGGTGCTCTGAAGAATCATTTCACACTTCAGAAGTGATATTCAGACCTTCGCCGACAAGCCCCAGCTGAAGAGAACAGCTCACTTTAGTTCTTGGGGCCAAATTGGTTTTCTTTGGCGACTGTTTTTACTCACAAACCGTAACCACAAGAAGCCACCTGGTTGTTGGTGGTGATTTTCTTTTCCACTAGGTTTCAAACACAGCCTTACTTTGGGTTTCATGTCACTGGCAGGGGAGCCACTGAGCAGAGGGGTTAGCTCTAAATCTAGTCATCTCTGACTTTCAGTTTTGTTCAAAATGTGTCCCACATCCTCTGGCTTTGTTGGCAGACCTCAGCGTTGTTACATTATTTTTAAAATAAAACTCATCCTCCCTAAGAAAAGAGAATGTGAAATTCTCCATATAGGAGGTCACATAAAGGATGCCTGTTTTTAGACTGATCCTGGCAGGAGAACCTGGCTTAGGTAAGGTTTGCTGAATGAGAAAGGGGGGGAGGGGTTGTCAAGCACTGACTATCTCCTAGAATTTACAGAGGAAGATAAGCAAAAGTCCTAGCAGAATTCAGACTCTACACGGAAAACCCATCAAACCTGCCCAGATGTGTGCTGTTGGGAGCATTATGAACATCGTGAGCAGTGCAAACTTTGTGCCCACTCCCAGCACAGAGAGCTGCCTGCTTGGTCCCCTGTACATAAAACAGAGAATCTGCATCCATGGGCAGTTCCTCCACCTCTGCAGCACCTCTCTTCCATCCTCTCTTCCCAGCAGTACTGGACAGCCAGGCACCTGCCTATGGTATATGCCACATCTACAAGCCTTCGGAAGCTGTTTCCATGCATGTGCAACTCTGTGTCCTTTAGCAACGCACACTTTGGATGACCCAAACTTCATAAAAAGAAAACCATTTAAGCCCCAAATGAAAAACAAAAATCAAATAAAAATAAAACCGAAGGTCATGTATCACAGCTAACATGAATACAGCCATTCTCCAAGCCAGAAGAGAGTGAGCACATAACCCAGAGGTATCTGCTCCTTTTTGAGGACCGTACATTCAGGGATAAAACAGAAGGTGCCACGTGGCCTATTAAAAATAATCTTCTCTACTTTCAGAGATGACATTGGGCATGTTGGTGGGTCATTCACAACTGGTCACAGTTCTCAAAGTTGCTCCAATGTTTTCTTTTTATGGATGTGTGTGTTTCCTGTATGTGCATACGTGTGCACACGTGCTATGCATGTGAAGATGACTTGGGAGTCATCCTCGGGAACAACACAGATCTCCTTTGAGAAACACAGGGTTTCTCACTGGCCTGGAGCTCTGAAATTAGGGCTGACTGGCTGGCCAATGAACGTTGGGGGTCCTCCTGTCTCCTGCCTGTTCTGCATTAGGATTACAGGCACCAAGTATCTTCACCTGGCTCCAACAGCGTTCCTTGAGCTTTCTCCAGCCCCACCGACATGATTTTATAGTTCAAAGCTGGACTTTTGACGGTCTGAGAAATCTATGCTACCCTACAGATCATCCACTCCGGTAACCATCATAGACTAATTTCCCTGATTCTATTTTCCTTGCTGGCCCTGAGATCACCCTGCTGAGAAGGCAGAGGCCACTCCCTGCTACCTTAGAAAACTTTAACAGCCCACCAATATTTGTTTTAAGAGCAGCAAGCAGGAGCCAAAGGCCACTTTGTCCTCCCCGGCTCAATTGCGCTGCTGCTGCTGCTGCAGACATTCAAACACAGGAGAGGCCACTTGGCAAAGCCACCTGGCTTAACTGAACGCCTTTTCATAGAGCTGGGGAAACCAGGGTTGACCACACCGCAACCCTCCCACCCAAGAAAAGGTTGGTTTGTTCCGGAAAGGGGAAAAAAATATCAGCCTTATTTTTAACTAAGTGCAAGCAGTTAGCTTTAGTCTGCCCGAGGTAGCAAGAACTAGAACTCTCCGTTAGAGTCAACCATGATCTTTTCAGAGTCCTATCTCCAGGAAAGAAAAACAAACAAACAAACAAACAAAACTCATGAAAACATCTGATCTCTCTGTTTCTCCTAATCTCTTGCCTGGAAAAACCGTCAGTTGTAGGGCCAGCCCTCCTTCAGCACTTTCCAGGGCTCCGGAGACTGGAGGAACTAGAAAGTGGATCCATTTCTCACTCATTTCCCGCCTTGCGAAACCAAATGGAAGCCTTAGGGGACCAAAGTCTCTTACCCTTCCAGCTAGCGCTCTGATCTCAGTCCTGGGACTTTGGGAAAAGGCGACTGGGTGCGTCCTGGTCGCTACGCGTGGCGCTGTCCTCCTGCCACGCCCCCGCGTCCCCACCCGCGGCCGTGGACTTCCTTCAGCGCTGGGCAACCCAGGGCGCTGTCACGAAGGACTTTTTCTACGTGGCCGCGAGCCCGGGCGCGAGGCAGAATGGGGGCCAGGTGTGGGCGCAGGGACACCTCGGCGAGAGATATTCCGGAAGGAGGTGACGCTGGAATCCAGAAGGCGACCAGGCGTGATGCCCTGGGGGAGTACCCACCTGTGGGAGGGACCCCAAGCCGGATCCGGGGCTCGGTTCCAAGCAGGCAGGTCCAGCGTCTCCTCGCCTCTGGCCATGGCGCGACCCTAGATTCCCCCAGTCCCCACGGTCCGACACCAGGCTCCGCCTGCGGGTGTGTGCGAGAGGCAGGTGGAGTGGACGCCCTTATAAAGGGAAGTCGCTGGGAGAGCCTACTATGAGACCGCCCGTCGTCCACCCCCCCCCCCCCCCCCCCCCCCACCCCTTCCCCCCCCCCCCACCTCTCTGTTTGACTCCTTCAAACTTCATTGCATTTCTTTTGAGCTCAATATGTGGCCCACACTGGCATGGAACTCAGAGCAATCCTCCTACCTCAGCCTCCTGAGTACTAGGATTACAAGAAGCACGTGCTACCAATGCCGGGCTTTTGGACAAGTCAAGTGCTGGTACTGAGATCTACCGATGCAAAAATTGCAGCCCATCCCTCTAGGCAAGTTCGTGGGGATAAGTTTCTTCATTAATGAGTCTGTATTCTGATAACTCCCTGGCACGTAGTTAGGATAACAGGGCAAGCACGTGGAAAGCAAGGCCCCAGGCCCAGGCACCTGAGTCAGCTTTCTGCAGTCAGTCTGCTTGACTCCTGAATAGCCCAGAGCAGCCCACTCCAGCGGCCTCTAGGCCCTTCCCCCTTGTTGCCTGAACGTAGGAGCTTCACGACAGTGGGTCGCCATGACGCTGGCTGGCTACAGTACCCTACCTGAAGTTAGCAGGGCGTTTTGGACAGAGCCGGGCCAGAGGCTCCTGTCTTCATCTTGCAGTGGCGCTGACCAAACCCCTAAATTTCCAGGCTATGTACATTAGTAAGTGTTCAAAAGGTCCCCAGGTTTAGCTAGGGCAAAGGACAGTTTGTAGAGGATTATGTAGAAAGAGTTGGACAGAGCTTTATCGACCCTTTCTATAACGTTTTTGGGGTTTTGTTGTTGTTGTTGTTGTTGTTTTTTGTTTTTTGAGACAACCTCAAATAACTGAGACTGGCCTCCAACTTGCTATGAAGCTGAAGCTGGCCTTGAACTTCCGATCCTCTTGCCTGCACCTCACAAGTGCTACTGGTGTTGAGTCATATTCTGCCCCCACCCCAGCCCCACCCCTCAAAATCTTTTAAAAGTCACTTTCCAAAAACTACTAGGTGAAAACGCTTGAGTTTTGTTGTTGTTGTTGTTGTTTTGTTTGTTTTTGTTTTTTCCGAATTTCTCTTGGTAGACATGCTCACTGGGTATGGAAAGTCTATCTGAAAAGTCACAGTGACCACACTACTCCCACTCAAAGTGGCTAAATGGGGCCAGCAAGATAGTTGAGGAAGAAAAGGTGCTTATAGCCAGTCCTGAGTTTGACCTCAGAATCACGGGGTGGACAGAGAGAATCCACTCCAGCAAGTCATCCTCTGGTCTCTCCAAGCCATCAGGGATGCCTTGTGTGGGGTCCCTCTTCCCACCACAAAATAAAGTTTTGGGACACACAGAGAGACGGCGGGGGGGGGGGAGAGAAGTTCAGTATTCAGTATTGCTATACTAGTATACTAGCAATACTAGTATACTAGTATACTAGTATAGTATATAGTATACTAGTATTGCTAGTATCCAGTAACTTTCTTCATCAGCAAGTGTTTCTTTAAACAGGTTCCCACCTGTGACAATCAAGAAACAGTCTCACAGGTGGAGAAAACAGTATTTCCTAGAAAGCTGTAAAAGATACATTTATCTAGGTATGACGTCCCTGTCATTTCTAGGAGACAGGGTCTCACAGCTGACTTCTGGCACTCTGGTTAATCAAACCCTTCTGTCCCCTCTCCCAAGGCATCCCCTGAGCAGTTGGTGCAGAAGTATCTAATATCCAATGCAAAGTGTCGCCCTGAGAGCCTATATACAAAAGCCATACTAAAGTGGACTCAACAAGATACATATAAAGAGATAATAATCAAAAAAAGATCACCTATTTGAGAGGGAGTGAGGGGGACACTGGAGGGGTTGGAGAAGCAACAAAAAAAGAGGGAAGTAATGTTTTTATATTTTTATATTTTAATTAAAATTTTAAAATAAAATTTAAAGATATAATTATCTAAATGGCTATAAAGAATGAAGATTGTATCACGAGTAAGTATAAAAGTATCTATTTAAAAATAAGGTTGGGTATGGTGCACTATACCTACGCCTATAGTCCTGGCACTTGGAAGGGCTGAGGCAGGAGGATCACAGTGATTTGGAGAAGAGCTTGGATCACAAAGTAAGTAAAGGCTGGCCTGACCTGCACAACACCACACAGTCTCAAATTTTAATAAAAATAAATGTAAGAAATATAACCAGGAAGCAAATTCTTTTTTTAAAGGGGGATTTTATTTTATTTTTAGTTACATGTATAATACCTGTGTGTCTGTGTGCGAGAATACATACCTGAGTGCAGGTGCCTACATAGCCCAGGAGGGGGCGTTAGATTCCCCTGGAGCAAGAGTTGCAGGGAGTCTTGAGCTCTTCTAATGTGGGTGCTGGGAACAGAACTCAATCTTCTCTCCAGCCTTGCAAATTCTCAGAGAGTACCAGAGAGGAGAAGCGTCCTAAAAGAGGGCCCTGGGTCTCGATCCTCACAGGTACCCACTGACTCTCAGGCTGCTTGACTGAGGCCAGGCAGTGCTGGGCACCCCGCAACAGGAAGACACTACTTATGCAGGTAGCACATGCGAGACTCCCTTAAAGTAGCCAGGGCCCCAAAACAACCACCTAAATGTAGGAAGGAGCTGGGGATAGAGAAGAGGTGAAGAAAAGAAAGATAGAAAACCGTTGGAATTACACTGCTGAAAGTTGGGGCTATCTGGTACACCGGGAGACATGAATTACGATCTCCCAGCGCCCAGTTAAAACTCCCAGAGGTTAGTTCACCAGAGCCTCTTGTTTACAGAGAGGATCCAGGCTCATGTGTCACTGGGTAGCACTAGACATTGTTTTGCGCTGCATGTTGGGCATTTGAACCACAGGCTTTTTTTGCTCTGCGTGCCTGTACTTCAAAGCTTGTGTCTTAGCTTTCACAACACACAAGAACGTTTCATTCAACCCTCTACTGTGTATCATATTACATTTCAGGTTCATCAATCACAGTCATGGATTTCTTTTGGAGGTTTCCTTCTTATGACAGGTTCATGAATTTACTACGTTAAAAGGAGTTTGTTTGTTTGTTTCTTTTAAGTCATCTGGAAAACGTGAGCCAAGATAATAGTAGACTGCAACAATTTTATATTAGGTGGTCCAGAGCTGTCTCTACTGGGACGTCACTGTGTAGACAGAACACAATAAAATAACAGGGAAGTGAGCCGTTTATTTGTGTGGCTTCATGTCCTTCTGATTTTCTGTTGATGTTAAGTAAGAAAGCTTTGAACTTTCCATATATTAATCTTTTGTTGTTTTTAAACACTGTAATCTCTGAACTAGGTCTTCCTTGGACTAGGTCTTTCCTTTGATGGTGGAAAATCAACCCGATATCGATCTCCATGGCCTGTACATTTCTGATATCTGGAACAAGTTTTCTCTTGAGAGACACGGGTGTTCTGTCTGCTCTGCAGTAGTTTGGTTTTATCTACCATATCAAATTCTGCTGTGCTTCAACTTCGTGCACGGTAGGAGGTAAGGCTGGGTCAGCTTTCTGCAGCTCAGCAGTCATCCGGCTCAGCAAAGGTAGCCTTTAACCCTGGGGTGGTGATCTCTGTGTTAGGAGAAGGGCAGTTCTTCAGGCTTTGTGGATGGCTCTGACTTGCTTTAGGCTTGGTGGATGGCTCTGACTTGCTTGCTTTAGGCTTGATTGGATGGCTCTGACTTGCTTGCTTTAGGCTTAGTGGGTGGCACCGCCTCTGTTACAATGTGTGATGTGGAAACAGGTACAGGCAAGAGGGAAACAAGAATCCGGCTTATGGAAATATCGGGGTTTTTTTTAAGTTTTTAAAATAAATTTTGTTTCTTAGAGCAGATATAGCTTCAGAGTGAAGTTGATCAGAAGGCACAGAGGACTCCCGCACATTCTCTGCCTCCTCCACATCGGGGTCACCCATCTGAACTGCACTCACTGAACTGCAAAACCAAAAGCACACTCTCACCTGACACCTGGCAGCTTCACTGCCAGCACCTTGACTTTGAGAACCTTCTGGCTCCCAGAACTGTGAAAAATAACTGTTTACTGCTTAGTTTAAAGTACTGAATCATTACGACTGTGTTATAGCAGCCAGAACTGACTGAACATTTGCCCTTGATAAACCCTGTGTACCTTCCACTAACTCCCCACCTGCTGTAGCCTTTAGGAATTACAGGTTTTTCTTCTGTCTCTGCTTGTCCTTTTCTAGAATGCCATACAGTTGGAATCCTGCAGTATGTAGCATTTTCACACTGACTGCTTTCACTTCGGAATACCCAGCTAAGCTTTTCCCATGTCCCTTCATAACATGCTAACTCGCTACCTTTCAGCACCAATAGTGTCTTCCTGAATGGACATACCACAGCTATTGATCCACTCGCCTTAAGAGCACCTGGGTTGCTTGCACGTGTTGTAAATTTTGAAGAGGGCTCATTTAAGCATCTGTGTGACTACTGTTTTTGTTTGTCGTCTAATGTGAGCATGTTTCCAAATCCTTCGGATAAACACTGAGAAGCACTGGTGCTAACTACTAACATATGCAAATTTGAGTTTTATAAGAAACCACCTGCAGTCCGTATTGAATTCTCCTCAGTAATAAACAAGATTGTCTCACTTTATGCCCTCATCAATGTTTGGGATTTTCGGTGTTTTGACTGTTACAATGGTGTGTGGAAGCTGATTTCATTTGTGGTTCCCTGGTGACACCTAATGTTGAGTATCTGCCCCGTATCTGCTTGCCTTCTGTATATCGTCCTGAGTAAGGCATTTTCTCCAGTTATTGTATCCACTTTAAAGGGGCAGTCTGTTTCCTTATTGTTGAATTTTGAATTATGTGTATATTTGCGTGTCATTAGCTTATTTTTTGCAAGTATTTTCTTGTACTCATCTTATTCTCCTGTTGGTGTCTTTTGCAGAGCATATAGTTCTTTTTTTAAAGGATCGCTGCTAATTCAATTTATTTAATA